TTATATCAAAGAAAGATAATAAATGCTCTGAGAACATGGAAGCTATCTGAGGGGCAAACTCATTTCTCTCTCTGATTGGCTTTGAAACAGAATATAGTAGAAGTTAAAATAAGCTCTGACTTCACATCCATTAGGATGGCTATTATTAAAAATCACAAAGACAACCCCAGAAAATAAATGTTGTGAGGATGTGGAGAAAAGGGAATCCCTGTACACTGCAGGTGGGGATATAAAATGGTGCAGCTGATATGTAAAATGTTATGGCCGTTTGGCAACAAAATTAAACCCAAGAACTATCCACCACGTGATACTGCACTTCTGGGCATATACGCAAGAGAACTGAAAGTAGGGACTTGACAGATATTGGTACACACATGTTCGGCAGCATTATTCACAACAACCAAAAGGTATATATGTAATGTATATACACACAATGGAATATTATTCAGCCTTAAAAAGGAAGGAAACTTTGACATGTGCCACAACATGAATCTTAAAGACATTATTCTAAGTGACACTAGCCAGTCACAAAAGGAGAAATATTGTCTATGATTCGACTTATAGAGAGTCTTAGATTCCATAGAGACAGAAAGTAAAATGGTGGTTACCAGGAGCTAGAAGGAGGGGAATGGGTACAGTTTCACTGGGGACAAGGAAAAAGTTCTGAGGCGAGATAGTGGTGATGGTTGCGCAACAGTGTAAGTGTACTTAATGCTACAAATTTATTCACTTAAAACTGACTAAAATGGTAAATTTGATGTTACATATTTTATCCCCAAAGTAAAAAGGCTGAGTGAAGGGCACAATACAACTTGCTTTTCCTGCCTCAAAAAACAACAAAATTCCCAAAAACCACAACCTCTAGAGTCAGGCCACCTGACCACTTAGGAGATGTTTGCTCTGGACAAATTACTTGATTAACTGCATTTAGTTTTCTCATCTGTAAAATGAGATTAATTCTACCTCAAAGAGTTGTTGTGAAGGTTATATTAGACAGTATTTGTCAAGTTCTTAGAAAAGTGCCTGGCACATATTAAGCACTCAGTAAATACTAGCTATCGTTACTGGAGTTAGGGAACCACTTGCAGAGAAACAGGCAACACAGAAGGCCTCAGATGATCCAGGGGGTAAGTTACTCTATTCAGTCAAATCCTTACTATGAAGATGCATATGTAACCTTCATTGAGAATTATTGTATAAATGACACACTGATTCTCCATAAAAGAAGTAGCATAAATTATGAAACTACATCCTAATTCAGGTTTTCGCATTACTTTGGCAATGGACAGAAGTAGTGTAACATGGTGCCATTCTTTCATTTACTTATCTGATATTTACTATGTATCTACCATGTATTAGCCAACATAAATATACACATACTGAATATATATATATATACACACATATACACACACACACATATACACACACACACACACACACACACACACACACACACATATATATATATATATATATATATATACACAGGTATACCAAATTGCATCTAGGCAATAAAACAAAAAAGGCTTCAAAATGCCTTTTTAAATTATAGTGTTTTTCAAATGTTTCCCATGTCAGGCTGTTTAAGAGTAATAACCTTGACACAAAGGATACAGAAAACTGACGATTATGAAACTACAGCAAATAAACACTGGAGCAAAGCTCAGTACTGTAGTTAAGCTAATATACTAGGCCTCTTTCACCTCTGGTCTTTTAGAACTCTGAATTTAGATGTGTTTTATGACTGCTTCCAGTAATAGGTTCTAGTTCCTAGAAATGCTGTTTTACATAAATACATCATCACAGCCCAAACTGGGCAAAGAGAAAAATCTTCATGTCCTGGTTTCTGAGTCACCTACTTCAAGAAATATTTAATATTAAAAACAAATTTATAAAGCCCAATATAATAAGACAACTATAAAAAGACTTGACTGAAGCAGATAGCAAAATCTTGACAAATAAAATGTATCTTGCCTTGTGCTGAAGAAACTGTTTGTACAGCTGGTGGCACAGCTACAGCTGAGAAAAATGTGGTCAAGTAGAGGAAACACCCGAGTTCATCCGTATAATGATTTTAAGCTTCTGGAACTGATTATGAACTAGTGTGGTGTGTTAAGTATACAAGGAGGTTCCCTAGGGTTTTGCTCACTTTTGGCCATCTGTTCCTCCTATCCACAAAGCAGTTTTTTAAAGACACCTCTTTAGGCCTCTAGATGCCTGTGCACCCTGTGAAAGCCACTCGTCTAAAAGGAGCCAAATGTCATTAGACACACATCTTTCAACTGATATCTAGAATAATGTACAAACCGTGCCATCCAGTTATATCACCTTTATAGTCAAGGGACCTCCATTCTCAGAGGCATAAGAGAAACAGGTATAAAAGTTAGAATTTAAGAATTTGGTTTCCCTTTGATACCGGACCAAAGTTTATATGAAAACTTTCAACAAAACTGGCTATACATACAGCAAAAATTTATGTGGCATGTAACTCAATTCTATGAGTGTATTTTCTCTAAGTGTGCTAATTGCAGAAAGCCATTTCCAGTCCATTAAATACATTTATTTTGACACAAAAAGCTTTGTTGTGATATTAACTGTCTCCCATAGCCTGAATGTAAGCTCCATACAATTCTTGGTTTCAGATTCCAGTAAAGGATTACAGGTTACCTTGGTGCATTAATCAGAATCCACTTAAAGTTTTGACAATTGGACTAGGGCCAACTGGATGAAGAGTAAGTTCTCTGCTTCTGCCAATAGTAGCAACTGTTGTGAATAAATGCATCACGAGAAAAGCAGACTGAGATCTTGGGAACTCTGACTGGTGAATGGTAATCAGGGGTAAAGGAGTAAATAATCCTTTCAGATGCTAACTTTATAAGCTTGATTGGTAAAAAATTTTTTACAATTTTTAGGAAACAAGTTCTTTGAGTTCTGTGGATCACTCTGCAGAGTACAAAGGGTACTCCTGCTTGCAAAGTACTTTGTTTGCCACCACTTCCATGGGAATCATTTGAACAAATATTTTAAAGTAACATTAAATATCTCACCATACTCTTTCACTTTAAAGAAGGAAAATTTAAGAGAAAGACAGATGCAAATCTATCTGAAGGGAGACGATGTGACGCTTCTTGAAAAAAACACATTTATAATGAGCAATGTTTAAAAAATACAACAAAATTTCACAATGGTGACTATTCTGAATACACAAACACACAATTCCTATGACTATTATAAGCAAAGTCCAAAGGCTGAAGATTGTAATTAGGGATGTAAGGCTTAAGTACAGAAACTTTCTATGACAAAAAGCCAAGACAGTAACAATACTAATCATGGCTGTTCATTTCAACAAAAGATACTTTCTGAAATCTAACATCATTTCCACAGTGTAACACAATTCTATTTTCCTCTTGTTATAGTAGCATTCTGGTGCTTGGTATATATATGACAATACTAAACAAAATTAACAATATGCATTGAGATGCAAAGATATCAACCATCCATGAGTACTCATGGGTTTTCTGTCATAGCTGAATGTGTCCACACACCCTGGGATATAAGAAATGTCTCATATAATTTCTACTTTCATTTAGAAATATGAGATTTCTCAAGTGGTATATTTTAATAGCTCAGATCAAGAGATCAATATTAAACTGATAATATAGTTTGTAGAATGAAAAAAGCTAGTAAGGCTAATTCAGAATGATGACTTCTATAATTAGATAAAGAAAGGAGCACAATTTCTCTAATTTAGCTTCAAATACTTGTCAGAGATAACCAATTGATAATGTCTAAATGGTGGCAGTCTTAAGAAAATAGTGCTTAGAGTCATTGCCAGCTTTTTCCCCCAAAAGCCTTTATTTCTAGGAGACACTCTATAAGATCCTGCTGAGGCTGATGGCATTGGGGATGCTAAAAGTAACACTACCTACTCAGACCTGATTTGCCAAGAAACAGGCCATGTATGTCCTGTCTAATTGGGGACTGATCATTTCTTTCACCTTCTGACAACCCATTACTTTCATGTCAACAAGGCACAATATATGTTTTTTAAAATGATCAAATTTTGCAGATAAATATTGTCTATCCTCGATCAACTACTGCATGATCCACATCACACTCTAGAAGACGGCCAGCAGAAAGCACAGCATGTCAATGTCACCATGCCAAAAGGAAAGGGCAAGCCTTTCCAATTTTCAGATGGAAATCTTCAAATGGAACCCAGAAAAAATGTAGCTCAAATAACTCCTAATAAGCGGAAACTAAGAGTTCACACAGGTTGAGGGTTACGAGTGGGATGGAAAGGATGGAGAGGGAACAGGAGGAAGAAGAGGCGGCTTATCTTGGGATAAAAGAGAATAATTATAATGTCCTTAATTTGTAAGCACTGACTCAGAGAAGACTTCATAGAGTCTCTGGTTTGCCTACTCAGTGCACCAATATATCTGTTGTAAGATGATTCTCTATATGTTTGTTTGATTAAAATTCACTGTGAAGCCAGACTTCTTTTCTTTTTGTATTAATGTGTCTTGTTGCACTATTTTATTGACTTATAAAGGCTTTTATGCAAGGGGGAAGATCAGATCCTACATCTAGATGTCTGAGAAATACTGAGGCATCAAATAATTAACTTAAATATGTGGTCTTGGTTATACCTTAAAAAATCTCAACCTATGGAAAGGAAAGCAAATAGTAAGCAATAACACCTTTTCACTACAACCTAAACACCAGCTCTCTTAGTACTTAGGAAAAGAGAATAAGCATGTTGAAAATATCATGCAGCAGAACATTTCTTGCATTATTAGCCTTCTTCAATCACTTGAAGTCAGTCACTAAGGCACTAGCTATGAAACTGCCTCTAAAAACACCATTAAATGGAAAGCTTCCAAATCCACAAGAGAAAAGAAACACTTGGAAAATGAAAGACAAAGGAAGTGAAAGGCAAATAACCAACTCAAAGGCAGAGCCATAGTTAGGTGAAAAGAAAATTGATACTATACTTTGGTTTTGCATTTTTGTATTCTTCAGTGTCTGTGTCCTCATCCTCTGAGTACCAATTATCTCCTCTTCCTCCAGCCAAGAGGCCCCTGGCCGCCAACAGTCCTGCAGCATTCCCATAGCCAGTATATTTCAGCAGACTATCCACTGCAAAAACAGAATAGGGTTTTAGATAGGAATCCTTGGGTCTTAATCATCATCACCAATCACTCACCAACACAGGAAGGTTAAATACATACACTATGGCAGCAAACTTTAAATTGAGAGATCATCAAAATGTGGTAGTGGTTACACTGAACTACTTAGAAATTTTCCCATAGGCTCTGGAGACTAAGAGCCTTTTTTGAGGTATCAGAAACCAAAACAGAGCTGTTCTGAACACCCTTTATGGCAAGAGTGGGGCCTCTGTGACTGCCAGGCCTTTGGTAAGTGTCATGCTTTAAGTTTCTGATTTCAGATCTTACTATTTGAAAATCCAGTTTTGGAGAAATAATAAGAAACTAGAGAGAGTGAAAGTCAGATTGTGATTTTAGCAATATGGCACATAATGTAAAGTATTTCTCTCATTCTTTGTTGGAACTGGAAGAAAAGGGCATAAGAAATAAGAAAACTTAAGGAAGGATATTAGCAAATAGAATAGGCAATAACTTGCTGCTTTTTTTAAATAAAAAGTCAGCAAAAATATATAAGCATGTGAAGCCCATTAAGAAGGTAGACGGAGGAGTTAAACTGGTAGGATTTCAATAATGGCTCTATCAATTACTAGCTGGCTGACTTGGGTAAGATATTTTGCAGCTTTATCTTAGTTTTCTAATCTGTAGAAATAGAATAGTAACTATCTACCTCACAAGTTAATATATGCAAAGTATGAAAAGTATCTGCCACAACGTAAACATTCATTCTTTTTCTCTGAGAAGAGTGGGCAAAATGATTTTAGAATTATCTTAGTTTAAAGAAAAGAAAAAAGAAGCAGCTTAATGAAAGTTTGGTTGAGGTTCTCTGTAAGTATTATCCTGCCAACAGGAAGAAGTGACGTCTCTCTAAGATCAGCCAACACACACAACTTTTGCAAGTGTAATTTCTAAACATCTTTAAGGAAGATACTCAGCAATAACTGGCAGCTTTGTTTAGCAGTATTTCATTTTCTTCAGGTACTTTTTCAAGGTAAACATTAGAATATTCAATCAAAAGTTAAGAATTGGGAAAATTTACTTAAGGCTTTTAACAGAATGTTGATAAAATGTCATCTAAAAGGCAACTGCAGGAAACATAACACACAATCATATCCATGTATAAAGCCATATTAAAATCTACATCTGTAATTCAGATCACTTACCTCAAAAAAGACAAAACAGAGCTGGAGAAGATTCAGAAAAAGGCAATTAAAAAGGCTTTAGGGAACTGAAAGGGTTGGTAGAAGGGAAAATAGGTAAGAAAACTGGGTATATATGATCAGAGTATAAAATCATGGAGGACATGGACAGGATAAATATATTCTAGGATAGAGTTGACAGTTACATTTTCAAATACCTGAACTAGAGGGTCCCTCTCATGACACTAAAAATAGGTGGTATGGGGATAAATAAAAGGAAGCCCTGATTTCAAAGAATATAGCAAACTGGTGAAATTTGTGCTAAAAGAAACATGGGCTAATAATATGAGCACATTAAATGATGCTGAAACTAGCCATTTTCAGTCTTAAAACCTATTGGTAACTGTGGTCTCTCTGCAATAATTCTCAGTGGATGCTGGATAGAATCCTATTAGAATTACTGAATGAGGGTGGGGTAAGCCTGCTGAATAAATCTGATACGCTCCATCTTGCCATCAGTGCTAGTGCTTTAGATAAAAGAAAGAATCCTTAACAAGTACTAGCAGAAGGAATGAGTGTTCAGTGTATACAGGTATTAACATTCATGAAGGTCAGACATTTTCTTAATGACATTGTCAGACACAAAGCCACTGAAGGCAAAGGATCACAGATCTAAACCCACACAAAGTACCTGACAGACAGTAGGTGATACTATCATTGTAAGCATTACTGATAAAGCTTATTTTTAACAAACGAGATGGTTTAGTGGATCCAGAAAAGAAATATTCATTACAATTAGGAAACGTTAAATTGAGATATGAATCAATGTTTAAATGAATATACTTAAAGACAAAACAACAATAATTTAAAAAGTCACAAAATGGCAAAAGATTAAGAGAGTTTAAAAATGCAAAGGTTATGAAAAGCCAAAACAGGTTAAATAGAAGTAAACAAAATACTAAATAACTGTTCTCTTATGTAGAAAATCTCTCTGGAAGCCAGTTAGTAGTAAAAAACCCTGGCAATTTTATGAAAATCAAGTCAACTCCTCTTTAGCTGGAACATTATGTGCTAACTCTGTGACAGGCAGTGTAGGTTACAAAGATGACTTAAGACATAGTTTGCCTTCAAAGTAGATAAAGGATATAGCCAACAGTTTTAAAATCACATGAACTTCTGTTAACAGGATAAAATACCCAAAAATTGGGGGTAGAGAAGGTGAGACAAATGAAATACAAAATCCTCACAGTGAGAAGCACTGAAGCAGTGTTTCTAGCTACCTTTTAAGTCTATTTTCAACTACACCATATAATATCCTACTTGATATTGGGAAAGTAGTAAAAGGAAAACTGACTGCACTTGGATGTTAAGGTAAGCTGCTAGGGCAAACAAAAGATTTTCTGGGTGGTTCTTTAAAAAAAAAAAAGGAAACATATAAATGTATTTGTTCTTTGCATAGTAATTATCCATACAGTTATATGAAAATGCTGCCTAAATGAAACAATTCAGCATTTAGTCGAAAAGTTGCGAGAAGCATTTCACCACTATTTTATCAGGATGCTAGAGAGCACTATGAACAGAGAAAACCAACCACAGCAGCACTGTGCAAAGTCAGAACTGCACTGGTAAAAACACAGACAGTTACACAAATGTGGGTTCTACCAGACTCTAAAATAAAAGCAAAAAGTTTTTGCTCTTTTACCAAGAACAAAGAATGTCAAGAACTAGATTCTACCCAGGGACCATTTCCCCCTTCTCTGTGAAAATCCTTTTCCTTCTAGTCAAATGCTATAACTTTCAGAAGACTGAACTAGTAGCTTCCTCTTACTATCCTTATTTCCAGTCTCACACTTCTCCATTTCTTATCCCATACAACTGTCCAAAATATCTTTGTAAAGCAAAAATAGGATTTTACAACCTTCCTGGATAAAATCTCTAGTGTCTTCCACTAAAAACTAGGCTCAAATTCCAAAACAAGGCCTAAAGAACCCATTTTCTGGCCTCTGTCGTCTTTTCCAAATTTTTTCTCCTCAAGATTCCTCACATCTTACTCTTTTCTGTACATTCAAGGCTATTTCCTATTTCTCTGTCCTCTTCTGTAAAGACTTTCTTTGATCTCCTCCCCACACTGGCCAACCATTCCCTCTTCCAGGTTGCCATAGTATCTGGCACACTTCTCTCTTAGGGCACTTATCACAGTGTACTGAAATTACTCCTTCAAATGGGACAGTGTATTCGCCAGCCTGAATTTATAGAGAGCACAAACATTTGCTCTTTAATTAAACATTTATGGGGCACCTGCTATCTGTTAAGCACTGGGGATCCAAAGATGAGTAAGACATGATCTCTGACCTAAAGGAAACTCAGTGTCTAGAATGTAAGTTCAATAAATAAAGAGTTACAACATAGCAAATGTCGAAAGTATTAATAACAGAGAAGGAAAAATGGCACAAAGGAAAAAATGATGAACTCTGCCTGGGATGGTCAGAGAAATCTTCACAGAGATGATGCTTAAATGGTCTTCAAGGATAAGTAAAGGTTGCCTAAGTAACAAAGATGAGGAAAAGCATTCCTCACAATAGGAACAGCATCTGCCAAGCCATGGAGATATGCCAAGAAATGGTGCAGTATAATCAGGCAAGAATAAAGAATTTATTAACAGGAGAGTGGATTTAAAATACACTACACAGAAATTCTGTGGAGGTAATATTTGGATTTTATCATGCAGGTAACAGAGAATCGCTTAAAGTTTTATATAGGGGGAATGCCAAGATTATATTTGTATTTTATAACAATCCCTCTGTTAGCCATGTGGAAGACAAACTGAAGAAAATCTGACTAGAAACAGAGAGATGAGCCATTTTAATAGCTTATTAATAGTTAAAATAATTTTAAGGGCCTGTACTAAGATGGTGGTATGGAATAGAAAGAGAGAAATAAGTAAAAGATATTTAATAGGAGGTAAAATCTATAGATGTGTTTGTTATGACTTCTTAAGAAGGAATTCCTTAAAGAAGGAATCTAGGGTACCTCAAGTTTCTGGCTTTACGAACTAGACAGACAATGCTTTTTGCAGAGAAAGTGATAGAAGGATAACAAAAAGGTTGAAGGTCATGGGAACAAAGATCATAAATCCAACTTTAGACATGAGTCTGAGGTACCAGTGAGAAACTCAGGTGGATAAAGTGGATAAAACTCAGTAAGCAAGTGGATAAATACGACTAGGGTTCAGAAGAAAGGTTGGGGCTGAAGATACATAGATTTGGGAATCTCTTCAGCAACAGGAGCCAAGGGAGAGGATGAGATTACTCAGGAAGCAATGTGAAGTGAGAATGGGGACCAGGAGATAACTTTAGGGAACAACAGCAATTAAATGTGAACAAGGACAGGAGCTAGCAAATCAGACTGAAAAAAAAGAAGAGAGGTCAAAGGACATCTAGGAGTGTGTGGTAGTACAGAAACAAATAAAGTGGACAATAGCATCAACTGATATGAGAGACATAATAAGACAAAGACTAAAAAATACTCATTGCTTTTGAAAATCAGGTAATTTGTGACCTTACTAAGAGCATTTTCCGTGGTATTTGGGGGGAGGGAATGGTCGTGGAAAAGCCTGAATTGCAGCTAGCTGAGGACTAAGTTTTTCAAGATCTTAAGAAGCGAAGGACAGTGACAGATATAAATCTACCTACAGACTGGGGAAAGCACTCAGGGCAAGTTCAAAGAACAAAAGAATAAAGGGTAATAACTGATGGAACAAGGCTTCTGCAAACACAGTAAGAGAAATGATCAACAGGAAAGACAGACTGTTGAACTTTAAGCTAAAGAGACACTCATTCCTGAGACTGAAGTGGGTATTACAGCAAATTTATTGGTGTGGGGTTATGTGCTAAGGGAATTCAAGCCTAATTTTTTGTAATTCAGCTCCTATACCACAAAGTCTACCACATACTGAGAATTAATGAATATGTTAAAAGGTGGGGGAACCCGGACCAAGGCAGGAGATTATTTTACAAATCATCTTCTTTTAATGAAACAATGTAAGGCCTATTTTTAGGCCCCTAGTAGAAAATACACAATTTGCAGGGAGATAAAAATAGTTATGTCAAGGCTCAACTGAACAAGTTAATGGCACAAGTACAAATTAACCTGTGGGCCACTATGTGCTGGGGATACAGTTGGGCCTGCCACTGATGGGTATTTAAGACCCTTGAATGGTTCTTTCTGTGCCTAGTCTTTCATACAATTTTGTCCTTTCTCTCTTACCTCTTTCTTAATGCAGTCTCTGTGTTCCTAACTCATTATAACTGCTGCTTGCTATCTTTCTACTTAGTGGTCTGACCTATGAGTCTTCTCTTTTTATTTTTTGTTTTTTTTCTTTTTGGGCCTTCAACCTCAGTGAGACCTATGAGTCCTGATCAAGGTGCCTTCACTTTCAAACTTACTTGGCAAATCCTTAAGAGGACAGTTGAGACACTCTGATAAATTATTTGAATTTTATTTTAATAGTCTACTTCCAAACCCAAATTCCAAAATCTGATCACTTTTAAGTTGAAGATAGACTGCAGACATTTCTTTTTTTCTGTCCAGAAGGTTTTAAATTTGAACTAGTTGACTACATTTAAAAACAGACATTTTATGTAAAAATCCAGTGTTATAGCTTCTCTTGAAAACATGGAAGGAACATTTGCTAATACTGGCCACATGTTCCTTCATGGTAACAATCAGTTGGAGCTAAATAGTAGCAATATCCTTTTTACAATCTCCCATAGTCCCTTTGTCTCTCCACCCCAACTGCCTCCCCAACAATGAGCCAAGCCTCAGATTTCATTTATCATCTTACATCTAGCCCACTTGACTTACTTTTATTACCAGCCTGGCTGTTGTAAGCATTTGAGTCTGTGACCCTTAAATAAAAAAGTAAAAAATATGTGGGCAGAAACATTGTTTATCTTATATACCTATGTAATCCCAGTGTCTAGCTCAAAAACATTTGTTGAATGAATGCCTATTTCAGAATAATACATTTACTAAACTTATAATCAAATTGGAAGGAAAAAAATGATTATAATGCAGAATTATTGAGGTCAAATTAAAAAAATATTATTTGCTAATGTAAGTTAGCTTTGGGCTCAAAGTTAGGACTATGAAGCTAAATACTGAGTACAAAGAGGAACAAAACCAACCATTTCAAACTTAAAAAGTTAATAAAATTCACTTATAAATGCAATATACCATATCTGCTATGACACTCACTCATTGGTAAGGTTATTATATTTAGAAATAGATATGTAATTATGTATTTAGATTTGTATATTTATTTATACACTTAGATATGTAATTACAGAATAAACTATATTTTCCCCCATTTTAAAGCTTTTTAAAGGTATACAAAAATGTATGTTCATTATAGAAAAATTATACAGACCGCTAAAAAACATCACCAGTACTCTTACTATTCAGAGTTAACAACAAATAATATTTTGGTATATATTTTGACAAACCTATTAAAATGAATAGATACACATATGTGTGGTTATTTATGCATATACATTTATAATTAAACTTTAAAAAATAGATTATTTCTGATCTCAAGAAAACAATTCAATTTAGCCAGTATTCAGATAACTATATGCAAGGTACTATGCTAACCACTTAATTCCAAGATGCTAAATCAATCTTTTTTCAGTCATTAAACAGCAGCAAATGGTCTAAAAAAAAAACAGATGCTAGTCTATAATAGTAGCTAATATAATTATTATGAGAGGAAATATGGCAGAATGAAAAGATAGGGCTCTTGACCTAAGCAACTATGTGACATGTCACTGAAAGGCTCTAAAGTGGCAGGTTGCTTCATTTATGAAATTGAAATAATAATATTCACCTTAGGGGATCATTATGAGAATTAAATGAGATTATACATAGAATGTCAAGCACTTGATATCTCTCAATTAATAATCACCATTATGATAATCATCAAATTAGGTTATTAACACACCATCTTAATGTGGACTTAAGTGGATCAAATGTCAGAAATGAAGTTTAAGAATAACAATTGACTTAAGATTTTAAAAGGAGTGAACTTTTCCATCTTCCAATTATCTATCTTACAAAACTGGGGTAGTTTAAAAAAAGTAGAATACAGATCTACTTAGATGGGATTTTATACTAGCATATTTATCAAGTAGAAGAAGAAAAAATAAGTGAGAATAACTGAATAATCAAAGTTCCTTGTTTAGAGAATTTTCATTTTGTAGAGTAAAAAATCCATATAATTTTAGAAAATATCTTTCATTGTTGGATCTAGATCACTTTACATATACCTACAGAGTAGCATTTATTACACTGTAGTACAGTTATTTAAAAATTTCTCTCTACCACTATCTTACCTTTGTCTCAAGGGTATTACGCATTTTTAAAATTTCTATTCAGTATATTATATAGCTCATATTCAATAACTACTGATTGGAAAACTTAGTAAAGAAACCAGAACTCCTATAGCTTTAATTCCAAGAGGAATTAAATAGAGGAACCAGCCCAGACCTGTGCCTCCTTATTAAAATAGTAGCCCCTGAATTGCTGAAGCAACTTTTCATAATGGCTGTAAGTCTTGCCCCATTAAGATGAAGTCTGGGTTAAGGATACAGAAGGCAAAGTTTAAACATGAGTGTGTTTAAACATAATGTATCCATCTTTGTATTTCTCAATGAATTCAGAAGCTTATAAAAATGCTTTTGATTATTAATTTTTATTAACTCCTCAGCCTCTCTAATAGAACATACAGTAAGCTTTGGAAAGAATGGAATGAGATGACCAGGACTAACACTATCAACTAAATTTCTCAAATTCCCTCTGAAAGATAAAAGGCAGAGGCAAAGAGAGTTTAACCTACCTCTCTCTTTGCAAAGGACAAAAAGGAATTCAGCAGCAATTTGCTTGACTCCAAGGTCAACATGTGTCATGAGGCGCACCAGCTTATTTCTCACAGTTGAGCCAACTTCAGGTCGATTTGTCACATCCCTCAACGGTGGTAAAACCTGATGGCACAAATGCAAAAACCATCATCAATCGAGGTTACTAGAGTGAGTGAGGATGGTACAATGCAACTGGCCAGTCTTGTAATGTCTACTGGGGTTTGTATTGTAGGAGCAAAAAAAAAAAAAAAAAAGGTTAGCTTCCAAATAAAATAAAACTAAACAAAAAACAGACCTCAAGTGATTTTATGCCTGTAATGAGGTTTCATTTTATCAGAAACATCTCTTCACTGTACCATCATGCTATCATCAAATGAATTTCTGAGTTTTTGTTCATCTCGGCACCTGGAATGCCTCAATTTGCCTCTAAGAAAATCCATTTTGAAGTCTAAGTCGGGTCTTTCTTCCATGAAGACCTCCCTAATACCCTGAGTCATACTGATTTTTACCTTCTCTTGAGTCTTCCAACATTTCTAGTATAGGTACCTCCAACATTTCTAGTATAGTAGAGTATACCTTATCCAAAACTCTTGGGACCAGAAGTGCTTCAGATTTCTGTTTTGGGGAAATTTTGAAATATTTATGTTACATATAATTAGAGATTAAGCATCCTTAATCCTAGAATCTGAAATAAAAAATGCTCCAAAATGACCATTTCCTTTGAGCATCACGTTAGTGCTCAAAAAGTTGCAGATTTTGGAACATTCTGGACTTCTAGATTAGGGACACTCAACCTTTATTTAATTAAGAAAACTGTACTTATGTTTTCTAGCTGTTTAATTTTATAATAAAAATGGCTATTAATTTTTGAGCACTTTCTATGCATTAGTTGCTGTAATAGATGATATATATACATCATTTATAATCCTCACAGTAACCCTGCAAAGGAGTTAGGAACATCACTCTCATCCCTGTTTTGTATTAGGCTGGTGCAAAAGTAATTGTGGTTTTGCTATTAAAAGTGATGGCAAATAGACTGCTCCCCAGAGGGGTTATGAAACTTGCTCAGTTTTTCTGTTAGTTTGCTTACTCACTCACCCCTTTCTCCAACCACACACCTTTCTCCTGGTTCTCTTCCTATCTCATTGGTTGCTTTGTCTCAGGCTGTTTTGTCAATTCTCTTTTCTATTCCTCTTTTGTTAATGTTGGAATATTCAAGGGTTGAATTCGTAGGCAACTTCAAGTTTGTAGGCAACTTCATTATTTTTACTCACTCAATTTGTGATCTCATCCAGTTTTATGGCTTTATATAGTCTCTGCACCCTGATGACTCCCTAAATAGCAGTCCCCAACCTTTTGGCACCAGGGACTGGGCTGGTATCATGGAAGACAATTTTTCCACAGACTGGGGCTTGGGTGGGGGTTTCAAGATGAAACTGTTCCATCTCAGATCATCAGGCATTAGTTGGATTCTCATAAGGCGCACGCAACCTAGATCCCTTGCATGCACAGTTTGCAACAGGGTTTGTGCTCCTATGAGAATCTAATGCTCCAGCTGCTCTGGCAGGAGGCAGAGCTGAGTCAGTAATGCTCACCTGCTGGTCACCTCCTGCTGTGCAGCCCAGTTCCTAAAAAGCCATGGAGCAGGCCCTGGGGTTGAAGACCTCTGCCCTAAATTATATCTCCAATGCTGATTTCTTCCCTGACCTCCAAACTTTTTTTTTAAATCACTGAAATGACAGGATTTTACAAAGAGTGATGGGAATCAACAGATTTAAATAAGGGCAGAAATTACATTAAAATTGACTAATTTTCATTTTTTAAGATAATTATATATATGATAGATCTATATAGAGGATATTCAACCTAGTATAATATTAAATATACTGCCACCACCTTACTTACACTTACATACTGATTATAAAGCAAATTAAAGTGTTGTGAAGTCATCCTGTTAACTAGTGCTTTTCAGGCTAGTGACTTTCAACTGGAATGTGTATTCCAGTCAATGCACACCTGTGGATCTTGTTAAAATGTAGACTCTGATTCAGTTAACTCTTGATGGGACCCATGCTTGATTCTGTTTCTTTTTTCTAACTTTCTTAAATTTTTATGTGTACCATACAGTACTGTTGGGGTTTTTTTGTATTTTATTTTATTAATTTTTAATTTTTGGCCAGGCATGGTAGCTCACACCTACAATTCCAGCAGTTTGGAGACTAATGCAGGAGGATCTCTTGATACCAGGAGCTTGAGACCAGCCTGGGCAACATAGCGAGATCCTGTTTCTACCAAAGGAAAAAAAGAAAAAAAAAAAAGAAGTAGAAAAAAAACTTTTTAAATTTTTGTGGGTACACAGTAGGTTATATATTTACGGGGTATATGAGATATTTTGATACAGGCATACCATGAATAATAATCACATCAGGGTAAATGAGGTATCTACCATTTACAATTTCTTTGTGTTACAAACAATCCAATTATACTCTTTTAGTTGTTTTTAAAATGTGCAATAAATTATTGTTGATGTCACCCTGTTGTGCTATCAAATACTACATCTTATTCATTCTATTGAACTACATTTTTGTACCCGTTAGCCATCCCCACTCCTCCTTCTTCCTTTACTCCCCTACTGTACTTCCCAGGCTCTGGTAACCATCATGCTATATGTACAATGTTGTACAGAAGATCATTTGAACTTAATAATTTTACATTATTGAAATTTTATACCCATTGAACAATAACTTCCCATCTTCTCCACAGCCCCTGGTAACCACTATTCTATTATTTGTTTCTGACCTCAAGACTTTTACAGACCTCTAAAATTTAGCAGGTCCTAAACAGGACTCTTGATATTCCCACCAAACCTGTTCCTTATGCAGTTTTCCATCTCATTAAATGGTAAGTCCATTCTCCCAATTGCTTAGTACAAAAACCTTGGAAATATCCTTGACTCCCCTCTTTCATATCCATCCATCAGCATATTATGTCAGCTCCACCTCTGAAATATACTCACAATCCAACCACTTCTCACCACCTCCTCCAGTATTACCAAATCCAAGGTACCAATATTTCTTTCTGGACTAATACCACAGCCTTGTAAGCGGTCCCTGCTTCCATCCTCGTCACTCTATAATTTATTCTCTACATAGCAGCTAGGATGATCCTTTGAACGTCAGATCACACCACTCCTCAAAGTTCTCCTGTTCCCACGGCTTCTCATCTCAGAGTAAAAGGCAAGGTCCTTACAGCTTACAGGATTCCATATAATCTGGCTTCCTGCTACTTCTCTGACTTCATTTCTACTATTCTCCCTGCTTATGCTGTTACAGATACACAGACCTCCATGGACCTTCTTAAACAAGCCAAATACTTTCCTGCCTCAGTTCTTCTGCATTTGCTTCTCCCTTTGCCCAGAAACTCTCTTTCTAGAAACTTGCCTGACACTCTCCTTACTTCCTTCAGGTATTTGCCCAAACTTATAGGAGATATTCCCTGACCATTCTATATCACTAACCTTTAGCACTCTTGTTTTGTATACCTCCACCTCCTTACTCTGCCATAATCTTCCTCATAGCACTTATCACCACCAGACATAGCATGTAATTATCTGTTTACTCATTTGCCATCTTCCACAAGACCAGGTTCCACTGGGGCAGAGATCTGTTTTCTTTACTGTTCTCTTCCCAGTGTCTAGCATATTACAGGTGTTTAATGAACACCTGCCATATAAGCTACTTAAATTAATTCATTTTTCCTTCAAGGAAAATTTAATTTAAGTAGCTTATATTAAGTGCCTTCTATTATATAAGCTAGGCACTGTGCTATGAGGGCAGACACAAAGTCAAATAAGAACTTAACTGTGCACCTATTACATGCCAGGCCCTTTATGTTTATATAATTTTATTTAATCACTCGAATGACTTTCTTCTCTCTCTCTCTTTCTATATCAAGTACCTACCATGTATGAGGAGATATCAGAGGCACAGGAGACACAGCTATAAACAAAAATGGAAACTAAATCTCAGAAAATTAAGTAACTTATCCAAAGTGTTTATGGAATACATATTTCAGTCTCTGGCTGGGTAGAGCAAAATGCTAGGTACAAAGTAACTGCAGAATTAATCCTTATTACTGTGAATCATTATTGAACCATACTTAGTACATCTCCCATTCTAAAAGAATGAAACATGTAACAAATGATTTCATGTAGTATATGTCTATAGCACCTAGAGTGCAGAATTATGAACAAAGGCTATCATGTAAAAATTTTGTTAGCTACGTTTTTGGTTCCTTAAAACAAATTTTTAACAAAATTTTGTTGTTATTGTTATATACCACTCCCAGACAAACTGCATACGTATTTCCCCCCAGCATACTACCTCCAACAATTTTTTTCTTTGAGAAATCTTGTCCAGTTTCTCTTTCAAATCCCCCAAATACTCATTGCTTCTATAAGCCTCTCCAGAATAATACAACCTGGATCAGTAATTTCTACTACTTGTTTTCTTTTCTACCTCCCAAATACAGAATATTCAAGACCAATTTCCTTTGGGTATGCATGAGTTGGATTTAAACAGGTGTTCACTACAGGGTATAACAATGAGCCATGGTTCCACTTATATTATCATCAGAGTTAACCATCTGCACTTTAAGTTCTGCCTTTCTTCATCACAACAGTCGACAGTGCATCCTCTTCAGAAGGAAAGTTGATTTCTGCAGTATGCCTTGTATCTTTAGTTATCTTTTTACCTGTCATGTTTCATCTCCTTACCTATACCGTAATGTTTCTTGCAGACAGACATTGAGTCACATAATCTTTTATAACAACACAGTATGTGGCCCAAGGCCTTCATCTAAATAAGCTATTTAATGAATAAGTTTTTTGAGGGGCTATTCTGTTTAGAGATAGCAAAATCCAAACAGTTTAGTTGTACCTGGATCCCCTATGGAAAAAAAGTAAAAATACAGAAACAAAAGTATTTTCATTTCTTGTTCTTCACCAACTCCTCCTAGTCAAAGGAGAATGTCTTAAAATAATCAAATGTGAAAATGACCTTAATTCATTAATCAATCAATCTTGCTTAAATTATTCATGCTTTTAGGGTACCTCTCTTCTTTCAACAGACTGCAAATTCCTCAAAGATGGTCTCTATTTTCTAATCTCTCCTTATCCCCACTACCTGTTAGTGTGTTCTAGACAGAGTAAGGTGCTTACTAAATCTTGACCATAAATAGAGGGGAAAAAATGAACCTGGTTCATTTATTACGGGAGATTCTATGTAATGATACATGAACAATTGGGTGAATGGTGGTACCATGTATTGAAATGTGGAAAGAAGGGGAGGAAATAGGTTGGAGGGATGAAAATTAAGATATTAGTTTGAGGTATGTTAAACCTGAGATACCTACTACACATCCAAGGTGGGGAGGTGAGTAGGTAGTTCACTGTTTTAAGTCTAGAGCTTAGGGGACAGGTCAGGGCTAGAGATATAAATTTGGGAGTCATCAGCATATATAGACGATTTTCAAAATCATGACTCTTGAATGAGATCACCAAAGGAGCAGATATGAAAAGAAGACAGTATTACCCAGGGTACTCAAACATTTAGGGTCTGGAAAACAAGGAAGATCAACAAAGAGGTTCTCTTCTGTGTCCTAGAAACCAAGTGTAGAAAGTATTTCAAGGAGGGGGGAATACTTACATCAAATTCTATTGGAGAATTTAAAAAAAGAGATTTGAGAACTATTAGCTTCAGTAATGTTGAGTTGGTGACTCTGATAAACACCTTTGCAGTGGGGCAGAAAGCATATAGCCTAAATACAGAGGGTTTAAGAGAGAGTCAAAAATGAGTAAAAAGAATAGAGAGAGAGAGTACAGAAAACTCTTCTGAGAACACGGCATGAAGATGAGCACAGAAATGGGAAGGCAGCTTGAGAAGTGGGATAAGGGAAGGTGTTTTTGTTTTTAAGATGGAAGATGTGTTTGGGTGCTGACTTAAATGATCTAATACATTTTTAAAAAATGATTACTATAAGAAGAGAGGGGGAACAAATGCAGGTGCAAAGCTCATGAGAAGGTGAGAGGGAAAGAAATCCACAACAAAAGCTGACCACAGACAGAAGTAGCAATAATTCATCCATTGTGACAGATGGGAATACAAGAAATATGGCAGTATGGACGCAGACTGACAGCAGATGCAATGGTAGAAAGATAAGCTTTTTTTCCTTAATTTCATGGTGAAACAGGAAACAAAGTCAAGAAATGAGAGTGAAAAGAGGACAGTAAGCATTGGAGGTGTGAAGAAAAAGGAGCTGTGAAATAGTCATCTTGGAGTTTGCTAAGGAACCAGTTGGGGTTGGTGGTCTTAAAGTAGACTAGTCAAAATGGTTGTGTTATTTTCTTACCACATTCAAGTGCTTGGAGACCCAGAGTAGGTAGAAAGCTGGAGTTAGCCAGTTTGTTAGGTTTTGCCAGGTGAGTATGGCTGAGGGAGAGTACAAGATGCTTGTTAGAGATGTATGGAAAGGAGTGATTATAAAAATGAACTTCAGGTGGACTCTAGCCTGGGTAAGGAGAGAAGGTATGAGTGAGTGAAGAACGGTGGGAAAAAATGATAGACTGTCAATCCTCAGAGGATGAAAGAATGTTAGATTGAGGATACTAACTAAGAGAAGGTGCTTGAAATTGGGATTTTAGAGGAGGCTAATTTCAGTTATTGTTACTATCAAAGTCTTACAGTTGGAGTCTAAAATATAATCTAAAAGTTTAAAAATTACCCTGATTTTTTCTTTTTCAAGCCACATTCCAATCTATCAGCAAGTTTTGTGAGCTACTTTTAAGACATACTAAAACAATTAAAACATATCCCCAAGTATGAACTCTAACCACTACCATCCTACTCCAAACTTTCAACATCAGTTATCTTTTGGACTTGTCTCCTTGCATCCATTTGTGCTCCACTAGAGTCCATCCTACAAATAGTAGCCAGAGTATCTTTAAGCATAAATAAGGTAACATCACTTCCCCTCTTAAAATGCTCCAATATCTTCTCATCTCACTTAGAAGAGAATCGAAAGGCCTACAACGCCTGCTATATCTGGCTCTTGTTACCTCTCTTCATCTACCACTCTCCCCTTGCAGATTGTGGCCTAGGCACACTGGGATTTTTGGCTTTTCCTTAAGTATACCAAAGCATCCTCTTGCTTCAGGGGTTGTGAACTTGTTCTCCCTGGTACATTCCTTTTCCAAATATTCTCAGAGATACTCTTACACTTTTCTGTTCAAATGTCATCTCAGAGAGGTCCTTCCTTGTTCCCTTAAAGTGTCTCCTTTCTCTTAAACTGCTTTATCTTCAGAACACTTAACAACCACCTGCCATTATATTTTATATTTTTTTACTTTTCGTCCCCCTTTCTATGAAATAAACTCCACAAGGGGAAAGACTTCATCTGTTGTTCAATGCCCAAAACACAGCACACAGCAGATCTCAGTAGCATTTGTTGAATGAATGACTCAAAAAATACACACTTCTTGATTAAGAAGATTTCAAAGATTAAAACTAACTTTTCTGAGTTTCCGATTTTCTGAGATAAAATCATTGTGAGAAATTCAATTAATTCTATGTTTAAAATGCATATAAAAAGACTAATTTTAAGATGTAATACACATTAAGCAGTTACCTGATCTTTGAGAAATTTTCGGATGTTTCGATGGGCTCGGGAACATTCGGTTAATAAACTAAGAACTGGAGTTAGACCCTCTCTATAGCTGCTTCCCTATAAAAAAAAAATATGTTTTTGAAATACATTAGTTTTGTTTCTAACAGTATTACTTTCCTTCTTTTAACTGAGCATATTAATTTGTTTTTGAGGTGGGGACATCTTACGTTACTCAAGCTTACAAACTATTTTCAAAATTATTTTCTTAACATTTCCATTTTATCGGTTATCTTCATGTTTACTATTGCCTTTTTGGGCCTTCCTGGATGTTCCTTCATTTTCTAGGGTTCCCATGGGCTCAGCCAATGGGCTTGAATGAAGCAAAGTTTTGGTGACTGGCCTATGCTACCTTGCTGCCTTTTAATATGGATACCTGACAAAGTGAGTGAGAGACCAGAGAATATAAACCGCTCACAACAAATGGAAAATTGACCAGGTCCTTTTTTTTTGGAAAGATGTCTTTTAGGTATTATGAAGAGTATTCAGCAAGTTTTGGTGGGGGATATTTTTCATTTCTAGGACTCACTAAGTAACAACATGGAACAGTAATTAATTTTCCTTTGTTTTCAAGCACTAGTCATAATTTTGGTGTTGCATGAACATAATTTTCAGCATTAAACAAATAAATTAACATGGCTTCAGCAATTTATCATATATTGTAGTAAACTGCTTTCCAAAGTAAAAACAATTACGCAACAAATCAGCTATAAAAAAAAAGCTTAGATTTAAAAATCATGCTCTGTGATGTGTGTATGTATGGCACATTTACATTCTTTGGAAGCATCTTCCCAGGGCTTCCATTTTATCAGCCTTACCTTGTCTATTCTCTTCTCCATAAAACTGAGTAAAACATGAATGGCTTCCATATTCATACCATTGTATACCATGGTATTATTTTTCAAAACTGTTTCTTTCTCAGCTGTTTTATTACTGGGCAGTTCATCTAGAGTCGTTGCCTCTTGGGCTGTTTCTTCATGGGTTAATGGACAAATGAGAACATCCAAACAAGAGACCGGAACATTGCTTAAAAGGTTGACTGCATTGCTGAAAAGCAATTTAAAAAGTACAATATTTTAATTTGATTGAATAGTCCTTTAAAATACAAACATAATAAGAAGTTTAAAAGTGACTTTTAAGAGTCAATTAAAATTTTTCTTTTTCATAATGAGCCATTAATATTACTTGGCACTTACTATGAGATAGAAAATAAAAAATGGTTTCAAACAAATGTTGTACAAATTAGAAAAAACAAATGTTAAATAGACAGACACAATCACATGATGTCATGTCACTTTCTGAAATGCTAAAATAGGAATTAGTGAGCTTTAATGCCAGCGCTTTAATTTTATTATGACAACAATGTTAGCTTTGCATTTCTTCCCTGGGGTTTTAAATCCTTTTGTGGATCCACTGTTGCTTTATTATTCCTTAGATTACAACATAAAGCATTTGAGAAGCACTGCAAATAAGCAGCTTATCAGCAGCAACAACATTAAAACCAAATATTGTAGAATTAATTTTTACTCTTTCTAGATGTAGAAAATACGGTTTTAAAATCATCTCATTTTTTGTAAGACATGCAGAAAAAGGGAAATGGAGTTTTTTCTCTCTTTCTTATCATCAGCTCCCTAAATGAAGTTAACATAGCTATTTCTAATCTCTGGCCCCAAGGCCTTTCAGCTGTATATTAATGAATAGATGAGCCTGGGATTCACGCCAGTAGGGGGAACCCAAACCTTGTATTTTTGGCATTCCCTAAAAAACCTTGCTCTGTTGTTCAATATACAAAAGATTTAAACGACACTAACAATTTCAAAATTAGATATATTCTCAACAAACATTTTCTTTCATGCATTATTTCATATTCTTTCATATAAAAGGACTGGTGGTGTTCTAGGTTAACTGGATCTTATATGCCTGTACCTTAGAACTTCCTGATCAACAATGGAAAGACAGGCATTACATTTCCTAGTGACAGAGAACCAGATCTAAAAATAACCACATCCTGACTAAAAATAAACTCCTGCAAATGCAATTTAAAAGTCTAACTACTTGGACACCAAATTTAGAGCTTCATCTATCTGATACCATCTGAATTTAGACCAGTAGTTCCTTCTACTTTAGATTATAGTGACATCCTAAAAAATAAAGCAAAACAAACAACAACAAAAACAAATATAGAAATTTTTCTTTCCTTTATCATGAATTGCACTCCACCTCCCCAAGAATGAATATTTTCTTTCTTTTTATATTATGGAAAAACAAAAACTGGTAAGAAATCAGTTAAAATGTTAGACAATGCAGAACAGAAAGTGATAATGTATAGGGCATCAAAAAAATGAACCAAGAGCAAAAAATAATTTAACAAGTCCTACGAATAAATAGTTCCTAGTAAAATACAAGTTATTTGACTGTCCTCTCTAAAACCAAATACTGCTGCTGCTACTGGTGTTATGCACAAAATCTCTAGCTTGGGTTATTTTTAAATAATCAAAGGTGGCTGAAATACAATTTTTTTCCCAAAAAAACTTTCTAAAATTTTTTTTTTGCAAACATCTGTAGTTTATCTTTAGTTCAGAATGTTTCGCTTCTATCTTAAGCATTTGGAAATTGTTACTAAATAATACCACAGGTTCACTGAGAATAAAAGAGGGATAAGTAACTCTACCTTAGAATTATTTTGAAAAACTGCATACAAGCCTTCTGAAATGTTAAGATTTTTTTCCCTAAACATCAGGCAATAGACTCTTAAGTCCACTGACTGTATGATTCTCTGATTCTACCAGGGACCAGATTGAAAAGTTTAAGATGGGTCATTTCATTACAAAGGAATGTTTCCCCTTTATATTCATTTAAAGTAAGCAGTTTCAAGGAATTCAGTAAATTTAAGAAACCAAATGTAGAGTTTGATTCAACAAATATTTGAAGGTTGTAGGCTTTTCATGAAAAGTTCCCATTTTCTTATTTCTTATTTAGCAACTCAGTTTCCAAACAACTACAAAATTAATTTTCTGGCTCACTGTGTTTGAGCTATTCTTTTTAAGTAAGGAAGGCCAGCTTTTTGAGCTCTGTCACTTCTCTGACAGTTTTATTTGTGGTAGAAGAGTGTATGAAATTCTCCAGCTACCAGGAAGTCAGTGACTATGCACAGATCTGCACAATGGTGTTTGCATTCCTACTCCAGGGGGTAGAAATACTGTGTATATTACACTCCCCTTTTCAGCTTCCTAGAGATCATTAATCACCGAGACATGACATCCTCCCGCTCATGCTCCCAGGCCCCTCCTGATATGCAGATTCAAAAGCAAGGCCTATTTAGAACTTCTTAATGCCCTGATTAAAGCCCTGTTGGTTGTAGGAGAGGAAAGGCAATCTAAAATCTTGTCCTCGGTGAATCGGAGGATAAAAACATGAAATAACACTGAAGAACATGATATGGCACATGCAGATCCATAGCTGTTAATAATCTTCCTGGTTGTAAATGTATCTTCTTTATATTTGGGGCTTATATATCTTTTTTCAAGGCTGAAAACTCTATGTAAATGAATCTTAAAATCTCCAAAAGATTTTCCTTTTGCCCTCTTTATTCATTAAAAAAATTTTTTTTGATAGAGTCTGTTGCCCAGGTCAGAGTGCTGTGGTGTGATCATGGCTCACTGTAGCCTTGAATTCCTGGGCTCAAATGATCCTCCCGTCTCAGCCTCCCAAGTAGCTGGGACCACAGGCACACGCCACCATGCCCCTCTGCTAATTTTTAAATTTTTAGCAGAGATGAGTTTTCATTTTGCTGCCCAAGATAGACTCAACTCCTGGGCTCAAGTGATCTTCCTGCCTTGGCTTCCCAAAGTGCTGGAATTACAGGCACAAGCCACTGCACCCAAACCCCTCAAAATCTTTGAAATATATATTTTTATTTTGTGGCAAGAGCACTTAACATAAGACCCATTCCTTTAACATAAGACCAATTCCTGTAACATTCTAAGTATGCAATACAGGATTGCTAACTACAGTATAGGCTCTGTTACACAGGAGATCTCCAGACCTATGCTTGCATAACTAAAACATTGTATATTTTGACTGACACTTCCCCATTTGCTCCTCTCCCTAGCCACAGATAACCACTATTCTCCTCTTGTTCTACAAGCTTCACTATTTTAAATTCCTCATAAAAGTAGGATCATGGAGTATTTGTCCTGAGTCTGGTTTATTTCACTTATCATCACAATGTCCTCCAGATCCACCCATGTTGCTGCTGGTGATGGCATTTCCTTCTTTTTTTAAAGGCTGAATAGTACTCCACTGATTCTATTGTGTGTGCATGTGCACATACACACTTTTCTTTATCCATTCATCTGACCGACATTTAGGTTGTTTCAATATTTTGGCTATTGTGAACAGTGCTGTAATGAACATGTGATGAGAATTCCGATATCTCTTTGAAATAGTAATTTTATTTCCTTTGGATATACTCCCAGAAGTGGGATTGCTAAAACAAATAATTCTATTTTTCATCTTTCAAGAAACCTCTACATTGTTTTCCATAATGGCTATACTAATTTACATTCCCACCAACGGTGTACAAATATTTCCTTTTCTTCACATCCTTAGCATCAGTTATCTTTTGTTTTTTGAGGTTTTTTTTTTTTCTGTAATAACCCTTCTAACAAGGTGTGAGATGATACTGCAGTTTTGATTTGCATTTCCTTATTAATTAGTGATGACACCTGTTGTCCATTTGTATGTCTTCGTTGGTGAAATGCCTATTCAGGTCCTTTGCCCATTTTAAAATCAGGATAATTGGTGGTTTTTTTTTTGCTATTAAGAGTTATTTTATAGGTTTTAGATATTAACCTCTTAAGATGTATGGATTGCAAATACTTTCTCCCATTTTCTAAGTTGCCTTTTCATTTTGTTGACTGTTTCCTTTGCTGTGCATAAGACTTCTAGTTTGATGTAATCCCACTTGTCAATCTTTGCTTTTGTTGCCTGTGCTTTTGGTGTCATATCCAAGAAATCACTGCTAAGACCAATGTTCATAAGCTTTTTCTCTTAAGTTTCCATCTTCTTCTTCTTTTTTTTTTTTTTGACATGGTCTTGTCTGTTGCTCAGGTTGGAATACAGTAGTGTGATCACAGTTCACTGCAGCCTCAACCTCCCAAGTTCAAGTGATCCTCCCACCTAAGCCTCCTGAGCAGCTGGGACTACAGGTGTGTGCCACCATGTCTGGCTAATTTAAGTGTTCTTCCAGGAGTTTTATTGTTTTAGGTTTTATATTTAAGTCTTTAATCTATTTTGAGTTGATTTTTGTGTATGATGTGAGATAAGGATTCAATTTCATTGTTTTAATGAAATCCAGTCTGGAAATCCAGTCTTCCCAAAATCATTTATTGAGGAGACTATTTTTTTCCCCATTGTATATTCTTGGGACCCTTGTTGAAGATAACTATATATGTGTGCGTTTATTTCTGGGCTCTTTCTTTTGTTCTATTGGTCTATATGCCTGTTTTTTTTGATAGTATCAAAACTGTTCTGATGACAAAGTTTATGGCCTTGATTGCGGTGATATCTCTTAGGTATTTACTCAATTCCAAACTCATCAAGTTGTATACATTAAGTATGTACAGCTTCTTGTATATCAATCAAACCACAATAAAACCATCTGAAATGATTCAGGCAAAGAAAAGAACGATCCCTGACTGGGTATGGTGGCTCCCACCTGTAATCTCAGCACTTTGGGAGGCTGAGGTGGGTGGATCACCTGAGGTCAGGAGTTAGAGATCAGCTTGGCCGACATGGTAAAACCCCATCTCTACTAAAAATACAAAATTAGCTGGGCGTGGTGGTATGTGCCAGTGGTCCCAGCTACTCAGGAAGCTGAGGCAGGAGAATCACCTGAACTTGGGAGGCAGAGGTTTCAGTGAGCCAAGATTATGCCACTGCACTCCAGCCTGGACAACAGAGACCCTTTGACTCAAAAAACAAACAAACAAAATCCCCAAAAGATTTTCAGATGTAAATAAATTTATTTAATTTAACTCAATCCA